ACAAAGAGAACTTAACGGGGACTGTGTCATTTTCAATGACTTGTTTTGATCGTACTGGCTTTTTACACATGTAGTTATATTACATAGGCGAAAAAGACATGCTAGTGACATTACTATGACTTTATGCCCCAAAAAGATTACAGTGTTATTTTTCCATAGTATGGGTTTGTATTGCACACACTATGCTTGTAACACTCGCCACTTCAAACTCATACACCAGTTGATCTGAGAGGCATACTGCTTATTTAACTAATTGTTAGTCTTTGGCTTTTGAGCTATTTTTCATTTTTTCCGTGTTAGATCATCTGTATTGAAACAATGTGTGTTGTGAGAAAGAACACGAAGACAGTGTTAGGGTCACAAGTGACACAACTGCAAGGGTAACAAACTTGAATTTGGATTTTTTTTTAATCTTGATCTGTCACGAAATTTTGCGTCTACGAAAGGGATTATATAGACTAGAGGCCATCTATTATCGTGAGAAAATCTACTGGGAAGGGCACTGGTTTCCATGCTATGGATTGTATAAGTTCTAGCTAACAATGGTATTTGTGATTGCTGCCTATGAGGGCGCACATCAATCACTGGATCATTGTATTTATGCTATGGAATTTGAAGACAAGACACATTTCGTAATGTCATGTAAAAATACGAACAGCAAAGAAATTTACTTTTTGACAACGCAGCAAGAGTAATTAAAAATTCCACTGTTCTGACGAAACAACAAATTGTTCGCAGTCATGAGTTCACATATAACATTTAATTAATATCGTGTTGAGCAAAGTACGTAGAAAAATGTATACTAGATTATATATAAGACAGCACCTTCTAGACCGAACACAATAAGGCCCAGACTGTGTATAAAATAAATAAAATATGCAATTTTTTCCTGAAATAGTTCCTACTCGTGTTGTATTTTGTATGTCTTATTTTTTTTAAAAGACCATACCTTCTGCGTCAGTGTCGTGTCAATAAAATATTAGTATGTAAATTAAACATACGTTCATTGCTGTGCACTAGTAATGCAGCTGATTTGCTGAATCTTTCAATTTTATCGTTTCCTTCGTGTTATAAATCGTTAATCGAATTTCGTTGTTGCACGTTTACAACTGTAAATGCCATAGTTTTTGTTCAGCATCACACAAGGTCCATAGCACCAAAAGCCAAATGATTTCCAAGACTTTTCCATGCGTGGCTCGTCATAAAACCTTAGACCTTAAGGTAGAAGCCTACTCATGATTTAAATACCCAGAATTTATTCATTTTATAATAAATTGTACTTCTGGGCAATATAAGAATATTGACTTAAAAAAAGCTGTGGGTCACCAGGTTAATTTTCAAGAAAATCATGGTTGTATTTTAGTGAATACCGGCCATTTTGGCAGTATTATAGTGCTTTTACCATAGGTTCCTATGGCAGAGATATTATGCCATATTTCAAATTGTAGGCTGGTGACATAGGCTGAAAAAATAATATATTGTTACTGATGGGATTTGTTTTCCTGATTTTTTTCAAAAATCTGGGTTTTAAAAAGTGTCGTAAAATGCAGTTTTTGTTTAACATTGCGCTCTATGGAATTGTTCTAAAAATAGTTATTTTTGAAAAATATTAGGACAAGTTTTTCAAAATAGGTCACTGTAACACACAAAAGAATGCTATTTTATGGTGCCATGGGTCAATAGCTCCACGATTTTACATAATAAACCAATGGACATTGTCATGCGATTTATGACCAACTTTCTCAAAAATGATGAGTAGGCTTCTACCTGAAAATACATGTATTTTAAGGTCTATGATAAAACCAAGTATTGTGCAATAATTACATGGACGTACGTCTACATTTGATTTCAACTGTATAACTAATTAAGGAAGTGCCCACTGTACTTCGGGACGATGGTATATTGTTCTTATTGTAATAATTTTCTCATTACGAACCCCATACAACACAATAACGAAAATCATTGGTCATTGCATTTATACAGCGTCTATGGCACCATAGCAACGCTCGAGGTACGTTAAACGGCAATGGAGTGACGTCATCTGGTTTCACTTCCTGTACGTTGCTTGCTTGGACGACTTAACGGACACGAGAATATCTCGTGTACTAGTATATTCTCCCGAGGAAACGATCCGGTCAGTTGTCGAAAACATCCAAGCCCACATTAGTGCTGACTCTATATATTCCGACGAACAAGATGTGTTTCAAGGTTGTGTGCGACAAGTGCAAGAAATTCACGTGGAAGGGTAAGCTCGAATCTTTTGGCTTGGCTGTATTAAAAACAGTACAACCACTAGTATATAAATAGAGTGAAGTTGTGCAACTCTGACCACCATCATTTTGTATATACATCGAGGGCAAAGAATTTTCAACCGAATATTTGTGAATGAAAGGTTAAACATATCGGAGTGAGTGATACAAATAATGGCTGTCTGGGACCAAAATACGGGCAAAATACTTACATATTTTACTGAAATGATGCTATGTTTACATGCTCTGGGCTGTTATCTATCGTTTATTAATGCAAAAATAGTCGGAAAATTTCCGGTAAATGTTTTCAAAGTTGAACCATCCATGTATTCTTAGTACATCCATGGTTGAACAAACACCACTTTGACTTCCGGTGTTCCGCCGATCAGTGCTAAGTTGACACAACACGGTTAGGTTAGAGTCCAGTTTAATACCGTGGTCAACATGGGTAGTTATGCGCGTGCGCGCATTTTTTGTATAGTTTCTCTTGTCGTGTTGACAGGCAGCAATATTCCTTACCGGTTGGACTATTTGGAAATAATGCCTTACGATAACAGGCATGAAAAACAAATTTGCCAATTGTTCATAGCTCAGAGCATCGATTTGGGTCAAGAATAATCGGGGTATTTAAAATCAATGTACGTCACAATGGTTTATATTTAACTCGGCGATCATACCTACATGTATTCCTGTTCTATGCACCTTACTAGTTGACTGCTGCAAACAAAATTGTATAGCCTCAAGACCTTGTTCATACGTGTCTCATTGCTGAGTTAAAAACAGAACTCGAAGTCAAAGCCAGTCTTCTGACTCGTATAGCTAAATTATCCCAGTTCAACACCCGGTCAATCTGTTCACATGTGGGTTTTTTCTAGGTCAAACCCCACATTGTGCTACATGTGTGAACACTGTACTAGTATTGTATTTACATCTGTTTCTTGTGTCCCTTTACACCAATTTATGATGATGTAAAAGATAAACATGTGAGCATGCATGTTACTCAATCTGATTAAAATCCGATGAGGCTCCAATTTTTTTTTTATTATTATTATTTTTTTTTTTATATGACATTTTATATAATATTTATTTATATTTTAGTTTGAATATGTTGATTTTTTGGTTTTTCTTGCCGGTAATCAGTTCTTAGAAAATCGTGTCACAGTTGCATGTTACTATGATTGTTTTATTGAAAAACTACACAAAAAAATGAAATACACGATCAACCAAAACATTGCCTATCTGTGCATTGCCTAAGTCAGTGCCATTGTGTGCATTATCCAGTGGCTGCTATATTTACACTTTTGAACAATGGAATAATGATTCCCACAATTTTATAATGCATTTTGTTCAAATTTCACTTTCACAGGTTGTGGTAATCATGTTGCAAGAGTTTTAAAAGATGTACCAGAAAATGAACGCTGTAAATGTCCGCGGAAATAATAAACCAAAAAAGTATGTTGTTGTTATTATAATACATTTTAATAAAACTTGCATAAAACAACTAATAGATCACATCCTGGGATTTGTTCCTTGTTTAGAAAGATAAAATCTCCATTTTTGACTCCTGTGTGCGAAGCTCAAAAGGGAGTCTTTGCAGCTACCCTGTCTTGTATGTCTGTATGTATGTATGTATGTATGTATATGTATGTATGTATGTCACTTTTTTTTGTTCCACCGTTATCTCAAAAACCACTAATCAAATTTCGATGAAACTTGGCACATAGATGCTCTGGGATAATGTGCAGAGTTGATTAGATTTTGGGTAAAAATTTGTTTAATTACCTAATTTGCATGATAATTAACTGATTTTAAGCTGTTCCATGACTGTTCCACTGATATTTGAAGAACCACTCATTGGATTTTGATGAAACTTGGCACATGGATGCTCTGAACTAATGTGCAGATTTGATTAGTTTTGGGTAAAAATCTATGAATATTAATTACCTAATTTGAATGATAATTAACTGATTTCAAGCTGTTCCATGACTGTTCCACTGATTTTTGAAGAACCACTCATTGGATTTCAATGAAACTTGGCACATGGATGCTCTGAACTAATGCACAGATTTGATTAGTTTTGGGTAAAAATTTGTTTATATTAATTACCTAATTTGCATAATGATAAATCAACTTTCGGCTTTTCCACTGATATCTCAAGTACTAATCAGAACATTTTAATAAAACTTGGTACATAGATGTCATATGATACTTCACAGACCTGTTAGTTTTTAGGGTAATATCAGTACATATTAATTACCTAATTTGCAAAATTAATTAATTTTCAGCTTTTGATATTAGTAGTAGTAATGATCATATTTCAATGAAACCTGGTACTAGTACATAGTTACTTGAGGACTGTGCAGAGACCTAATTAGTTTTTGGGGTAAATATTTGTGCATATTAATCATCTTATTAGCATAATTAGTTAATTTTTAGCTTTTCACCTGATATCTCAAGTACTAATCATCACATTCCGATGAGACTTGCGACATAGATCTTCTAGGACTATGGAATTGAGACCTGAATAATTTCGGGGTAAATAATTGTGCGTATTAATTACCTAATTTGCATAATTAGTTAATTATTTGCTGTTCCATGGCTGTTGCACTGATGTCTAAAGAACCACTCATTGGATTTTAATGACACGTTTAAAGAGTGCTCATCATATTTCAATGAACCTAGGACTATACACCATATTAGTTTTTGGTAAATATTTATGCTTCTTAATCACCTAATTAACATAATTAATTAATACTGGTATCTCAAGTTCTGATCATCACATTTGAATAAAATTTGGTACATAAATGCTCTAGGACAATAGACAGGCCTGATTAATTTTGAGTTAAAATCTGTTCATATTAATTCTCCATAATAATTAATAATTTGTTGGTTCTAATCACATTTCAATGAAATTTTGTACATAGATATTATATTATGCAGATCTTATTACTTTTACATTGTGCAGACCTTATTAGTTTTACACTTAAATCTGTTCCTATTAGTTACCCTATTTGCATAAGCTTTTTCCATCAATATCTCAAGTTCAAGTAATTTTGAATTAATTTTTAATGTGCCTCCATCACTCACAGCACACGGGAGTTGTTTCTAAGCTTTCTTTGATTATGATGTGATTTGATGTATTAACTATTATACATTCTGAAAGTTATAAATTGTCATCATAAACTTTATAAATACTAAAATATTTCATAGTATATATTTTAGTAGCATGCTAATCCTTGTTTATTGGTGATGCATGTGTATTTCCGTTTTTTTCTCTTTGACTTTTGGGGAAGAAATCTTCAAACACAATTTATGTTGGTAATTGTGGCATACAATCACTGCTGTAATACCCATAGTCACAGCTATATCCATACTGTGAACAAAAAGCAACAAAAGAATTACTTGACTGGAACTTGATGGGAGTATTTTACAATAGCTGAACTTGAAAAGATATTTTTCATCTTCTAGCTGATTTATTTATTTATTTGCTGGTAATGTATATGTCTTGTACCAATTCTTGGAGAATAACAGAAGACTTGATTAATAATTCAAAAAAATTGTTATTTTGAATGTTCAATGCACATTGAATTTTAAGAATATCTCGCTTTTTATTGTTGCAGATAGAAGGATGGATGTTGTCATGGTGATTGTGATATCTCTTTCTAAATCACTTCACAAGATGATGAGGAGACTGATAATCATATGCACTTATTCCACTTTGTATTCAGGATGTGATATTTGTTTGTCATATTTATGTTAATAACATGGCACAATTCAAATATATATTATGTTTTTACATCAGGTAACAATGCTGTTTAAAAAGTTTAAAAACAATTAGAACAGAATTAAATTGTCATGGAAAATCAAAATAAAATAAACTTTTTTGATAATTTTACTAAACAGAAAACTGCACACACACATTAATTTGTAGAACAAATTTACCAGAAACTTTTACAGTCTAGTTTTATTTTACAGAACATTCATGTCACGCAATAAAATTACTGTCAACAGAAGATTATATTTGTTTTGTTCTCCATTTAAATATTATTTTGTTATTTATAATTATATTAATTACTTTCTTATGAAATAAAACGCTTACCACTGTGAACGTATCTGGTATTGCATCTATAGATAATTGTATTAGAGTGACTACATATACTAAGTTTTGATTGTTAATGTTTAGTATCACTTGAATTTCATAAAAGTTATCTGAGCTCGTAGTAACTGAATCAACATATATATGTATTAGAAACATGAGAAAGCATGAGTTTACAAGCCCATAATTTTGGTCAGTCAAGTCAAATGTGGGTTTATATCCGTAAACCCATGCTTTTGAGGGAGTGTTTCAGACTTGTGTCACGACAAAAACGATAAACTTGAAAGATTCAAGTGGTTTATATTGAGGGTCAAACCTTTTCTTTGGCAAAACTTTTCAGTAGTTGAGGAAGAACAAGGTGCAAGGTCTAATTTACAATAGCATAAAAAAAAAACGTGTGGATTTCCAGAAATAAACGTGCTGCCAGAACAATGGGTGACACCAAAAGTGGTACAAGTATTGTAAACATACGCTAATCACCACCCCTCATCAATATTAAATGCAACTGAACTGTGACCATTGCCCAGAGTAACATCTGAATTGTAGAGTGTTTATGCTGTAACTAAGCTCTCGTGTGCTGTTCACTTTATTTGGAAAAGCCATGGTACAGCTTTATCTTCAACAACCAGAATATCCAACAATGCTATTGTCAAAAGGTCCCTGTATAAATTTGAATACAAAAGAGTTTTTAAATGAAACAAAATTCATACGACTGTCCCTTGTATCCTAGTTGCTGTTCCTGTTTGTTACTGCCTCAAATGGCACCAGTCTGATGCAATTTTTTTTATTTCGATCAGTGTATGTTCAGCTTGAAAATATGAAAGCATGTGGTGTCATTGATGATTCATGATTTTACATAATAAAGCAATGAATACTGTCATGTGATTTATGGCAAACTTTCTCAAAAATTATGAGAAGTTTCTACGTTAAAACCACCACTTTGACTACTCATCCCAGTTATCAGCGTTTTCTAAGCAAGTGAGCAAAAAAAATTTTTAACTATTTTTGCAGAAGGAATGATTCAGTGAAACTAAAATCAGCGAATATACCTTTTTCCTATATGTAACATTCACCTTGTCAGAAATCAGTAAAAATAAATTCCATACAAAATACCCAAAAACTCTTTTCAGCAAAAATTAATTCCAGCTAAAATAATTTTACAGTATTGAATTTGATTTTTTTCATAATTCTAACAGAAAACCCCGGAAATGATTTAAAAAGAATAAATCTGATTGTACATCTGTTGTTTGTGCTCTGTGGTACATTTTATAGAACCTATTAAGTTTAATGGATGAGTGGTTATTGTGATATGTATCGAACAGCTGAACATTTCCTAACTTATGTAAATAAATTAATTGCATGAATTTCAAACATAAACTTTTAATGTCCACCGTGGAGCTATAATAGAAACAAACAACTTCAATTCTTGTTAAAAGTGATTTATTTCAACGTTGAAAACAATGATCAGCCACTTGCAATTCAAAATGTATTAAAACTCCAGATTAAAATAAATTATGAATATTTATAGATATATGAAGTAATATTTATTCCATGTTTTACATATACTGTTTGAAAAAATATTTACAAACAAATATTAAGCAATATTATTTAAAATAGAAAAACACAAATACGATATTGAAAATTTCTTGAGGTTTATCATATAATAAAATTCAATGGGAATTTATTTTTAAGAAATATTTCTACAAATGCTGATACTTGTAAACAAGACAAATGCAGCAATCGCTTTAATTAGAATGACTCGTTATATCTGAGACAATTTTGAGTTATATTTTGAAATCCAATATGGACTGAAACTAATAATGTGCTTGCGTATACATTTGGCACTATTAATTACATGAAGTGTAGATTGTTGAAAATGACTGAAAATAGCACTACAGTTCAGGAGATAAGGGGAGAGCTATCATTGTGAAATTTAGTCTTCAGGTACAACTAAATTTGATGCCCTTGAATGTTTATGAAATTAAAGAGAAAGTAATTTTGAATTTCAGGTACAACTTCACACACATGCTATACACTGCATCGAACCCAGGTCAAACAAGACAAGATGTGACTGCTTTAATGTAATTTAGAGTACTAGTAGTTAGTAACATTGACTATACAATGTACAGTAGACTGGCACAGTCTGGGCAATGTATTTCTCTTTAAAGTTTAAAGTAAATAGAAAATATCACGAAATGGTTAACATGAAATCCCCTGTGACCGCGAAATCATGTATACTCCAAATTTGACAAAACTATTTTTTTTTCTAGTTTTTTAATTACCCCGGTATTATAATTTAACTAAAAAAATCACCACAGCTGGGCCAGTCTAAATGTACAGCGATGAAAGATAATATTATAATGACACCTGTATTCGAAGCTGTACTGCTATAGTCTTGATCATACAATAATATAATTATAAATCCTGAATGTGAGAAATTGAAACACATTTAGTAAGTACCATAGTAGTCAATGATTGTGGACCACATGGGGTCATAAATGGAATCTTCCATTCCATTATCAGCAGTATTCTCAAGTGAACACAATCCAATAACAAAAACAATTCAAAAAGGGAAGTGAAATCTTGTTTTTTTGAACTGTGTGATAGATGGTCACTGATAAATCAGATGATTTATAAATGGGTTTCCATATTTTTTTGAAAATGTTTAGCACTGACTACAGATTGATAACTATATTTAATTAACATCTCCCGTAGCAACTGTGTTCTATTTTACTATGATTACCAGTATTCACCATCAGACTCATTTTCACTGTCGCTATGGGAACCAATACTTCTCTCATCAAACCAATCATGTTGAAAAAATTTACTCAATAGTCTCTGTCGTAGAAGCTCAATTTCAAAATTGAGGATAGCATTTTTTGGTAGATGTAAAATATCGATCAGGAATTCAAACTGACTTCTATTCAGAATTCCAAGTAAATAGCTTTCATAATAATCACCATAGTGATCATAACATTCCAGATTTAATTCATCAGAATTTGGGAACAATTTACTATTCAACGTGTCAGTACTCCTCATGTAACACGTCTGGAATAACTTCCTGGTGCATAACTGGAGTAAAGAGGTGGTTGTACCACCAAACAACAAATGGATCAGTCTTGGTCCAATTTTCCCAAGATGGCTGCAGCCAGGAAACTCTGCAATGTAGTCCAGTAATTCATTGTACGTCTTAGCAGTGCTGAAATACCCTGAAAAAAACGTAATAGTTACCAATATTGCAATATAACTTATATCTGTTTTACCATATTTGAACAAATGTATTCCATTTTTGGATTAACGCAAGTGCTTTTGAACTGGTTCTAGCGCCTATTTTTTTGGTACTTAGCATTATTGTTACTGAAATGTGTAAGGAACTTGTTTTATCTTGACATGATATTGGTGTTATGTTGTGGTATTCAGTGTAGTACAACATCAGTAGCATTACCTACTAACTAACATTAGAAATACAGTTACAATGTAGTCAAAATCAGATCTGCATTTTGGCAATTCTGCTGAACAATAATGGACCATAAAAGCTGTATCCAGTACATGAAAATTTGAAAATAAAACTTAACACATGTTTACCTCTGTCAACAAGGTGAGCAATAAATTGATAATTATTAGACATCATTGGAGTAGTAGAACAAACAACTCTAGATGACATCAGAGACACAAACAATGGTGATACATGCCTATAAAATAAATAGAAACATTTAAAGCACATTGATGTATCAAGGGCACAAAGCAAATCATCTCTCTAAAAGTTTTCACTGGACACAAAGGCAATATTTCGGCCACAATTATTATAAATTTTACTGGACATTGTCAGAATAGTGAAGGCAATATTTTGGCTGCAATTATTATAAATGTCACTGCACATTGTCAGAATAGTGAAGACAATATTTTGGCTGCAATTATTATAAATGTCACTGGACATTGTCAGAATAGTGAAGGCAATATTTTGGCCACAATTATTATAAATTTTACAGGACATTGTCTGAATGGTGAAAGGCAATATTTTGGCCACAATTATTATAAATGTCACTGGACATTGTCAGAATAGTGAAGGCAATATTTCGGCCACAATTATTATAAATTTTACAGGACATTGTCTGAATGGAGAAAGGCAATATTTTGGCCACAATTATTATAAATTTCACTGGACATTGTCAGAAAAGTGGAAGGCAATATTTTGGCCACAATTATTATAAATATCACGAATATCTCCAAAAATATATAGGCCAGTGACACCAAAACTGCACTGTATACATGCATTCATTACATAAACAGTTTTGAACAACATTTAATTAACTTATCCAGGCCACTAAAAAGCGTTGATAATGACAGACAGGAAAAAAATATTTTATTATTACAGGTAACTACATTTAGCAGCAATATACAAAATGCAGCACAATTCATGCAAACATTGTTAATGTTATTCTATATTAGTTTCCAATTAGTCAAGCTGCAATCACAAGATTACCTGCCATGCTCAGATAAATCATTAACCCAACCAAATATATCCGGATCAGCCCTGCATTCAAGTAGTCGTAACACGTTTCTAGTATCCCCCCTTGACATGCATTCAAACAGTGCTGTTCTATCTTGTTTATTTTGAGCATTTATCTGAAAGATATTAATAGATACAGTTATAGGAAGGGTTAGTTCACATTGACCAATCACTAAGGCACATTAAGTTATAATGCAAACAAAAATAGTACACTTGTCACCAAGTTCAGAAAATGAAAAGTCCATCATGATTGATAGATCAGAGGTCAATTCTAGAGGAGATAAGTGTGAGAGCCATCAATGATCTGAGGTCAATTCTTGTGCAGGTAGAGTCAATTCTCTAATGGCTGACAGGTCAGAGGTCAATTCTAGAGGTGATAGATGTGGGAGCCATCAATCAACTTAGTTTCAATGTAAACAAATGATTTCGGTCACATGTAAATGCTTGACGCAATAAGATATCCCCCATAATTTTACGGTGATAAAAGCTCATTGTCGAAACGAAGTTTTACCCATTCACGTTTCGCCACAATAAACATCATATTCTTGAATAGGTGTCAGGAAAGATTGAAATGTTCAAAAAATTACGCCTATTTCGGAGATTATATGGTAGGTGTGGGAGCCATCAATGATCTGAGGTCAGTTCTGGTGCAGGTAGAGTCAATTCTCTAATGGTTGACAGGTCAGAAGTCAATTCCAGAATCAAAGGGTAGAGGTAGGGTTCTCCCCAGTAGAGCGTTATAGAACAGCTCCCTCCCCTCCTAACTCTATGATATTGGAGATCACTATGCGTTAAACTGAATACAACAGAGGTGATTAACATTTGCTATTGTTACACAGTAGTCAAGGTGCCAAATCCATAATGCACAGGTTAGAGTGTTACCATAACAATTGATGAATTCAAGCACCATATGTTTCCTAATGATGTAGTATATAACATACCTGTATTTGTGGTCTTGACAACAGAAATGGTATAGCATGATCTTTGCTTTCAAGACTATGAACTTCTTGGTAAGGATTTTCAATGCTATTCATACCATGTGGAAATGAGGTACATACAGATAGCAATGGAGTATTACCAAAGCAGTCCTTGGCATTAACATCAGCTCCATTATCAGATAACACTTCGGCCAAGGACAGGTCATTGCAGTTTATTAAAGTATCATGTAGAGGTGTTTTGTTGTTTTCATCTCTCACATTGGGATCAGCTCCATGACCTGAAAAATCATATCATTTCAATAAAAACAAGTAACAGCATTACCCCTGGTACGTACATGTAGTTCCAGTGAGTTATCAAGTTTAAGAAATAAATGACACTCAAACGTGAAACATCGCTTCAGGGTGCTCCACAAAATCACTCTTTTCGGCAATATTACCGCCTGTGGTGCTTTATTTTCATGTCGTACACAAACATGAATATATCTGCGATACAATTTTGATGTTAATTTACAAGTTCAGAGCAATGTCCGAGTGATTTTCATGTAAAAGCTACAGGAAAGCATGATTCAGACAGTCGTTTTGACTGTTTATGCAAATGCAATGTGTTAATCCTGAGTTTTTTGTTTTATCTCTAGGTATGTTTATATAATTACATTGAAATGATATGCTATGAGCTGTTTGTCCGGTCACTTCAGGGGCGTTGTGACTCGTCGGCACTCCACAAAGTAGTCCGTCCCAAGTGAGTGCGGATGGCACGAGCTGAGGTGTGCACGAAAGGGGAGGGACTAACTTCCTTAGTGTATGTGCGCAAAAAAAGACGTTCGTGGTTACAGAGGTTGTAAACTTGATCGATTCTTATTTTTCCAGTGGAAACAGTTACTAGAAGGAAAAAAGATGGTTTTCACCCTATTGTCGATGACAAGACGAACAAAGCTGTGGGTACTGCCCTAGATTAGTTTATTGGCGAATGTGACGGGCCTGGCTGGTCATGATAATAGCGGGGTTCATTCGAGGGGAGCGTCAACAAATCATTCCTCAACAATATGCTTTGAATATGCGAATGCTTCTTGAATTTAATCTATGACATGTATCCCCGCAATGAAATGATTGTTGACCAACAGCATTGCGTAAAAAAAGGTATACGTGTCCATGTTTTGTAACGTATGTGTCACACACATATTTGTGTATATTTGGCATTGGGCAACTGGGTATGCCCGTGCCACACAGCCATATCGCAAAGTTTTTTTTGTTTTTTTTAATTTGTTGGAGCCTTTTTTCCACATTGCATAACGCCATTATTGCCTAGCGAACAAGACGCATTATGGAAAATGTTGTACTATGCTATCCATTGCAAGCACGGAACTAAATAAGAAGCTCTATGATTTAAGTAAGAAAACTGCTTTAAAAAGATTGTGGGGGACCCATGAGCATTGAACACGATTCAATAAGTCTTTTCAAATTGGATAATAGAGTAATGCATGATGTTAGCTTACGGAATTAACACCTTCGGTTGAAATGATAACAGCTATGTACCAAATAAACAACTGGGCAGACCATACAAATTACATTTCCCATTATGCACTGGTGCAATCCCTGGGATTGCAGAGTCGCACTTTAAGGCATGTCAGACACATACCTCTCAAACTGCATTTGTTTAAACAAAATGGCCACCTGTCATCCATTTTGATTCTGATCTAAAACACGAAATGATTTGTATAAAAGTCCCACAATGTCTGATGTTTGTACCGAGTTTGAACAAAACTAGTCTGGTTTTGGAATGGAAGGAATGCTTGATTTTGATAAATGCCATTTGGCCATTTTGAATTGAAACGAATAGACGTACATATGTATGCCAATATATATATGTGAATGAAAAAATGATCGGTTAAGGCATTTGTTGATCGTTCTGGATAGCTTTACGATTGCAGGACTCACCCTACATAGTCATGGAATCTATGCATAAATTTGCATAAAAGGTGGTCGACCTGTGGCGATGACCACACCTGTTTGATTTCCCACTAGCCCCTTATCTACATTTATCAGATATAAACCCTGACATTCCCCACCACACGATATGTGGGGACGTGGACAATCACTGATGAAGCTAAATCGGTAGTGTGCAAACACCTGTAGTAAACAAAAATGCCATATGATCATGTTAATTTCCATTGTCCAAAATATTTAAACAAATTGAGACACTTTGTGGATGTGTAATCCTGAGGATATTGTTGATTATTTTTAACCTGATTTATTCAGACACTACCAGACTTCTCTGAGCACCAATGTCCCAAGTTTATCACCATAATTTCTATGGGAATGGGTCTGGTGCATAAATACAATGTATGAAAACATTTTATCTGTTGAACTCACCAAGGAACACCCAAGCAAGGTGAACTATTTCATTGATAACTTCTTTGACTGTCAGATTCTTCTTGTGACCAAATCCAATCACTGCATTTGGACCAAAGATTGCATCAGAACCTTCGTTATTGCGTTTCTTTACTGTATTATTGAAAAACTCCACCATCAACTGCAGGGGAGAGCATCCTGGGTTCAGAAACTCGGATCCAAAGGTCTGCAATCAAGAATAAAAGTTTTTAATTTACTGTGAAATGTGCTTTTGCAGGCTGCTTATTTTGGCTCAATTTGTACAACATGGCTATCATAAAGCTATGAAGTCAATTGCACTAGGCTGATAATAGAAACATGCAATAATAAATTAAATGAAAATACTATGTAAGCAATTCTTTTTTTGTAGGTCACATCAAATTATCTCAAGTCTTTTTTTTAGTTTCCAGTAGTAACACAAAGCTAGTTGTTGTGAGTTCCCTGACAGAATAGGAAAAGCACACCAGGCTTAGCATATTTTCCTTTAACAAGTCTTTCCCATTGCTATTTTATTAATCTGAACTGACATTTGAGGACAAGTGAAGGATTTTATAAAAAAATCTTGAAAAATCGGAAAGCTGAAAACTAAATTATTATGCAAATCAGGTAATTATTATGGATGTAAAAATGTATATAAACCCAAAACTAATTAGATTGTTGGATTGTCTTAGAGCACCTGTGTACCATGTTTCATTAAAATGTAATGATCAGCAGAAAAGACTAAAAATTTACTAATTATGCAAATTAATTAACATGCACAGATATTACCTTAAAACCAATAAGGTTTGTGCATTGTCATATTACATCTATGTACCATGTTTTATTGAAATGTAATGATCAGTGCTTGAGAGTGGAGAATTTGCTAATCATTATGCAAATTTGGTAATAATATGCATGGACTTTTACTCAAGACTAATTAGGTCTGCGCATTGTCCCAGAGCATCTACATTGTAAGTAACAAGTTTCATCAAAATCCATTAAGTGGTTTATTTCGCTATTGTTTCAAGAGTTTAGATATAAACAATGACCACTGGAAGTCTGCAAGCAGTTATAAAGTGTATTCATAAATACAAATGAAATATATAACCAAAGAAAATAAACAAATATATTAGCAGTTTGCATGTAAACTCAAACAAAAAAAAGCCATATTTTCTCGATTTTTATCATGAAACAGCATGGGGAAGGCGAACTGATGACATCTTGGCTTACCTCATTCAGAGGCCGCTGGCCACCCACCGCTGTTGGCGTAACAATTTAGCATCCAAGTTGCATAGGGGAACAGTGCATTCTGGGCATGTATGTACTGAATCCAGAAAGTAAAAAACATTAAACATGGCTGCTGGATTAGTTAACCTCAAAGTATTTGTAATAGAATACATATTATATACATGTATTTTAAATTATTTTTCTTTTCAATATACTTTTTCATGGTGTAATACCGGTATAAATATTTTTACTGACAACATTTCGTTGGTAGATTTTAGAAAATCCTAGATTAGCAAGCTCATCTTCATTATACTCTGTGTGTATTTCTGTAATGCACATTCCCAGGTTTCTCTGCTTTATTTATAACTCCAACATTTTTTTTGTCCAGCAAATCTATGATTTCATTATTTAAAAACTGCATGCATAAAGAAAATACAAAATACTTAAATATGTTTTTTGAAATAAAACAAGTTTTTATTCTGTTAAGCAGTACACAACATGTACTATAAAGGTGACACATAATAATAATTCTCTGACATTTTTTTTTTATAAAAAAATTCTGGATTATAAGGCATGTTGTATCTTCATATTATTTGTGAACATTTTCTATACCATGATTTGTTAGTTTCAGTTGCCCTAAGTTTCTTTAGTTCTGTTATCAGGGATCTCGCCAGCGCAATGGGAGTGCCGGTCACTCATGAATATTAATGAGCTCGGTCACAGTGCAAATATTTTTTTTTATTGGAGTCAAAATATTATGTATCACAATTTAGAAAAATTCAAAAATGAAACATTCTCGAAGTGTGTCTAAAAACAGAAACAAATAAATTATTGTGGCAATGTCTATTGTAACAGGTTAAAATGAAACGCATTTGAAATGTTTCAGCCAGGAATATGTTCATGACTTTCATCGTATTTACTTCAAAAAAATCGACCAGATTATTATTGGCGCATTGCTGTTTAATATTTGTACAATCAGTTTCTACAACGTTTACATTTAATTTATGAATGAACAAATAAAACAAAGTTATGACGTGTTATAACTGACTTTGCGATGTTATACACCGGTTATACCACTAATTCCTCTTACTCAGTCATGATGTCATGCAAAAAATGTTACTTCTTTTTTTTGATATGAATCAGTATAGTATATTATGACAATCCTGCACTTGGGCCCCAGTCGGTTTGTACGACGGGTGTTTTAGCTTTATAGCAAATAGACCCATGTTAAAAAGGTAACAGCACAGTAGAAAAGTCCTGCATTGTAGTATTTCGGCACTTGGGTTTTTAGCTGATTATGGGTGTTACTTTCATCATGGATGTAAAACAGGTAATACCACAGATGCAGCTAAACTAATGAGCTAATTAAATATTGTAGTTAGGGTGAACCATGTGTTGGTATGGTGTAAAACCAGCAGTAAAAAGAATAAAATTTAACGAAGATTTAATTTAAATTTATTACCAGCTTGCAACATGTTCAACGAGAAGGAGTGAAATAGATATTGTAAACCAAATGCAATTGAATAAATATGGAACTCTGTTTTTTAAATCTGTGACAGAACAAAGAGTAAATTAATTAATAATGAAAATCAATAAATACAATGTTAAGTCAACACTGTGGGACTGTGATGTTTAATGTACAGTCCACTAGTAGCATGCAATGAATGTGTATTACTAGAATTAATGAGTTTAAGTTCATACCTCAGGAACTCTATGACCAGTATCAGCACCTGAAATAAATCACAAACAACAATGAACACAATTTAACCTAATGAATGCTTAATTGAAAACTAAGTTATGACAATGCCATGATCTATACTGAAGGGTAACAGCTGACTACAATCACTGATGATCCATTGTTTTGTGAAATCGGTCTCAGCTGACAACGTTTGTTATTTTTAACCAGACCACTAAGAGGGCAAATGACATTTGTCACGACTATAAAAAAAATGATTATCAGAATCTGAGTTTCTGAACATACCACAATAAAATTGAGCTAGATCGAAGAACAAAATATACTTTGCTACGAATTTCTGATACTTAATATTTCACGATTTTTGCACAATACATAAGGGTTTCACAAATAAATTAAATAGCAGGCCATCATCCTGTAACAACAGGCCAAAACAAAAATAGCGAAGCGAAGCGCTGGAGCGAGGCCAACATAGGCAGACAAAGGGAGAAAGTAGACGGCAAATTTTGGTTTGTAGCCGAACATACGGCCAGCTCTTAAACCCCTGATACATGTAGGTTTCAACAACACACAAATAACAAGTAATTGCCATTACATAGTTTCTGAAAGTCTAAGAAATATAAAGTTTGAACATGAACAGTCAGATAATTCAGTAAAACAAAATGGTCATCAGTCGGTCATTTTGAGATTATGCATTAAGGTCTTATAAAGTTCAATGTACATACTAAGTGTGAACAAAAAGCAACAAAATGCATGACATTAAAACAACCACAATTCAGCCATCTTGAATCTGATAACACAATGAATAAATACGCACATGTGTGAAATGATATTAAAACAAAATAGCCACCAGTCGGCCATTTTAAATCTGCTCTGCAAAAACAAAATGACATGCATCAAGGCCCCATAATGTCCAATGTATGTACCAAGTTTTAATGAAATCTGCCAATACATATCTAAAAGCAGGTTCCGGAATGGCAGAAATGCTTGATATTGATGATTCTTTATTCCAAAATAGTCTACATTCGATCATCTTGAAATAAATGGATGTGCATATGTCGCAATGTTTAAATACACTGAGGTAAAAATATAAATCCCTGTATTCTGATAGGTGCTACAAAGGGGAGCCCATATTGATTTTGAAAGAATAAGTGAACAAGTTTAAGACTAATTCAAAAATTACCCGAACATTTGTAGGAAAGTTAGACTTGCAGCATCCCCGTGTTATGCCTGCAGCATTCCTATGTTATGCCTGCAGCATTCCTATGTTATGCCTGCAGCATCCCCGTGTTATGCCTGCAGCATCCCCATGTTATGCCTGCAGCATTCCTATGTTATGCCTGCAGCATTCCTGTGTTATGCCTGCAGCATTCCTATGTTATGCCTGTAGCATTCCTATGTTATGCCTGCAGCATTCCTATGTTATGCCTGCAGCATTCCTGTGTTATGCCTGCAGCATTCCTATGTTAAGCCTGCAGCATTCCTATGTTATGCCTGCAGCATTCCTATGTTATGCCTGCAGCATTCCTATGTTATGCCTGCAGCATTCCTATGTTATGCCTGCAGCATTCCTATGTTATGCCTGCAGCATTCCTATGTTATGCCTGCAGCATTCCTATGTTATGCCTACAGCATTCCTGTTAAACCAGCAGCATTCTGGTGTTATGCCTGTAGCATCCCTGTTATGCCAACAGCATTCCTGTGTTATCTCGCAGCAATTCTGTGTTATGCCTGTTGCACACCTGTATTATGCCCTCAGCATTCCTGTTAAACCAGCAGCATTCCTGTGTTATACCTGCAGCAATCCTGTGTTTTGCTTGCAGCATTCCTATGTTCTATCTGCAGCATCTCTGTGTTATGCCTGTAGCATCCGTGTTATACCTGCATCATCCATGTGTTAAGCCCACAGCATTCCTGTTAAACCAGCAGCATTCTGGTGTTATGCCTGCAGCATTCCTATGTTATACCAGCAGCATTCCTGTGTTTTTCCTGCAGCATTCCTGTGTTATGCCTGCAGAATACCTGTGTTATGCCTACAGCATTCCTGTGTTATGCCTGCAGCATCCCTGTGTTAGGCCTACAGCATTCCTGTGTTATACCAGCGGCATCCCTGTGTTATGCCCACAGCATCCCTGTGTTATGCCTACAGCATTCCTGTGTTATACCAGCTGCATTCCTGTGTTATGCCTGTAGCATCCCTGTGTTATACCAGTGGCATTCCTGTGTTATGCCTGCAGTATTTCTGTGTTATGCCTGCAGCATTGCTGTGTTATGCATGCGGCATGCCTGTGTCATACCAGCGGCATTGCTGCAGCATCCCTGTTATGCCTGCAGCATCCCTGTGTTATACCAGTGGCATTGCTGTGTTATGCCTGCAGCATTCCAGTTTTAGGCCTGCACCATCCTTGTCTTATACTTGTACCATGCCTCTGTTAACCCTGTAGCATTCCTGTGTTATGCCTTCAGCATACCTGTGTTATGCCTGCAGCACCCTATGTTAGCCTACAGCATTCCTGTGGTATACCAGCTGCATTCCTGTGTTATGCTTGTAGCATCCCTGTTATGCCTGTAGCATCCATGTTATACCTGCAGCATCCCTGTGTTATACCAGCTGCATTCCTGTGTTATGCCTGTAGCATCCCTGCTATGCCTGTAGCATCCATGTGTTATACATGCAGCATTCTTTTGTTATGCCTGCATCATCTCTGTGTAATGCTGTAGCATCCGTGTTATACCTGCAGCATTCCTATGTTATGCCTGCAGCATTCCTATGTTATGCCTGCAGCATTCCTATGTTATGCCTACAGCATTCCTGTTAAACCAGCAGCATTCTGGTGTTATGCCTGTAGCATCCCTGTTATGCCAACAGCATTCCTGTGTTATCTCGCAGCAATTCTGTGTTATGCCTGTTGCACACCTGTATTATGCCCTCAGCATTCCTGTTAAACCAGCAGCATTCCTGTGTTATACCTGCAGCAATCCTGTGTTTTGCTTGCAGCATTCCTATGTTCTATCTGCAGCATCTCTGTGTTATGCCTGTAGCATCCGTGTTATACCTGCATCATCCATGTGTTAAGCCCACAGCATTCTGGTGTTATGCCTGCAGCATTCCTATGTTATACCATCAGCATTCCTGTGTTTTTCCTGCAGCATTCCTGTGTTATGCCTACAGAATACCTGTGTTATGCCTACAGCATTCCTGTGTTATGCCTGCAGCATCCCTGTGTTAGGCCTACAGCATTCCTGTGTTATATCAGCGGCATCCCTGTGTTATGCCCACAGCATCCCTGTGTTATGCCTACAGCATTCCTGTGTTATACCAGCTGCATTCCTGTGTTATGCCTTAGCATCCCTGTGTTATACCAGTGGCATTCCTGTGTTATGCCTGCAGTATTTCTGTGTTATGCCTGCAGCATTGCTGTGTTATGCATGCGGCATGCCTGTGTCATACCAGCGGCATTGCTGCAGCATCCCTGTTATGCCTGCAGCATCCCTGTGTTATACCAGTGGCATTGCTGTGTTATGCCTGCAGCATTCCAGTTTTAGGCCTGCACCATCCTTGTCTTATACTTGTACCATGCCTCTGTTAACCCTGTAGCATTCCTGTGTTATGCCTTCAGCATACCTGTGTTATGCCTGCAGCACCCTATGTTAGCCTACAGCATTCCTGTGGTATACCAGCTGCATTCCTGTGTTATGCTTGTAGCATCCCTGTTATGCCTGTAGCATCCATGTTATACCTGCAGCATCCGTGTTATACCAGCTGCATTCCTGTGTTATGCCTGTAGCATCCCTGCTATGCCTGTAGCATCCATGTGTTATACATGAAGCATTCTTTTGCTATGCCTGCATCATCTCTGTGTAATGCTGTAGCATCCGTGTTATACCTGCAGCATCCCTGTGTTATGCCTACAGCATTCCTGTGTTATGCCTGCAGCATTCCTGTGTTATGCCTGCAGCATCCCTGTGTTAGGCCTACAACATTCCTGTGTTAAGCCTGCAGCATCCCTGCAGCATCTGTGTTATGCCTGCAGCATCCCTGTGTTATACCAGTGGCATTCCTGTGTTATGCCTGCAGCATCCTTGTGTCATACCAGTGGCATTCCTGTGTTATGCCTGCAGTTTATCTGTGTTATGCCTGCAGTATTTCTGTGTTATGCCTGCAGCATTCCCATGTTTTATCTGCAGCATCCCTGTGTTATACCAGCGGCATTCCTGTGTTATGCCTGTAGCATCCCTGTGTTATACCAGTGGCATTCCTGTAATATGCCTATAGCATTCCTGTGTTATGTCTGCAGCATTGCTGTGTTATGCCTGCAGCATTCCTGTTTTATCTGCAGCATCCCTGTTATGCTTGCAGCATCTGTGTTACGCCTATAGCATTCCAGATTTAGGCCTGCACCATCCTTGTCTTATACCTGTACCATGCCTGTGTTAACCCTGTAGCATTCCTGTGTTATGCTTTCAGCATACCTGTGTTATGCCTACAGCACCCGTGTTATTCCTGCAGCACCCTGTGTTAGCCTACAGCATTTATGAGTTATGCCTACACCATACCTGTGTTATACCTGTACCATTCCTGCATTAACCCTGTAGCATCTCTGTGTTATACCTGCAACATCCTTTTGTTATACCACACTTCTCTGCTCCACCAATTTATGGTAAGACTATTCATTGTACCCCCCTTCACTTACCCTAACTCAAACCCTTGATTCAATTGTATAAACCCCTCTAGATGTACATGCAGGTGTTCTCAAGAATATCTCAAGCGAGGCATATACAAATAATTTGTGGGCAATGGAAGATAGGGATAGAGTTAGAATTAGGGCAGGGGGTTCAAAGGAAAGTCTTTCCAGCATTTATCTAATTTCTAGACGTTCCAGCCCTAGTCCTTATTGGCTCTGGTTAAAAAAAAAAGTTACGACCCTGGTTTGGATGTTACGGCCCCTAACAGGTTGGGTGTTACGACTCTGGTATAAATTTTATATGTGTTCATATCTTAAACGTACAACAAGGGCCGTAATGTCTTTTATTTATCAGGGCCATAAGCGACCAGGGCTGAATCGTTCTGACAACATCTGTCTAATTCGATGGAGAGAGTGTAACCAGAGGAACAGTAATTAGGTACTGTAAAATGACTAATTTTCACTGGGTTTAAATTTCACTGATTTTCCATTTCAGGCATATTCAGTGGGTTTTAAATTCACGGTTTCGTGATTTAGATAATGTGTTCTATGCTAAATTTTACATATTCACTGGGTTTTAATTTAGCGCATTTTTCAGTCAGCGAAATAAGCTAAATTAAAACCCAGTGAATAATTACCCCCTTTACAGTATCTCGTATCTCGGCTCGCTAATGAACATATGGAATATTAATGTATTTGCATTGTGTTATCAAACCGTAAACCTTATTATTCAAAAGCAGCACGTTAATATAAAGCAATACACCAACTATTAGTATTTATATTTTTTCATAACACACACACCTTTTTCCGCCAATAATTTAGCTAATTCTAGATGTACAGGACTTGGTTGACCCAGTTCATCATACCCACTCAAAACAATGAACAGTGGAGTTCTCTGATAAAAGCCTTCATCCAAATGCGAAGGAACTTGCGTTTCCTGAATGATTTTTTCAGCTTCGGCGTATCTTCTTTCTTCGAGCGATCTCGTCAGACGTGTCTCATGAATTCCGAACATCACATTGAAACCACCGTGTCCTGCGCCACCAGCCGCCGCCATTGTTGTTGACAACTTCGTCGCCTGCAAAGTTTACTTAGTAAATGTTGCAAAGACGAAAGCTAAAAACAACTACTATCCGATTGTATAAATCAACATATATTCGAATATTTGTAGCCTTCCCGGTGGAGTTTTCATTTACCCTTTGTCTCGTACTCCGTATGAAATAAAAACAAACAAATAATGTCTACGAACAGGGCGCTGCCATGTTTTCTAAGTTGCGTGGTATTCTGGGAAAGTGGACTGAACCATCGTATTGCATCGTATATTGGTGGGGTGAATATCAATGCTCAT